CAGCCAAAATTTGAACGGAATAATGTGACGGAGAATAATGGTGAAAAGGCATGTTATCGATGTGGAAAGACGGGACATTGGGCACGCAATTGTCGTGCCCCGAGACAAGTTGTTGATAATTATAGCAATTCCCAGAAATCAAAAGATAAGAATATAGAAACCAATTTTATGATTGGGGAACCCTCTGAAAATGATTCAACACGTGTGGATGATGAATATGGCATCGATGACATATTGAACCTAGATTTTGTTGATGCGGTAGTTGAAGACAAAGCTGGAAATGACCAAGAAAATAACTGATGATCATGTTTTTATTGCTTTCTTAGTTTTGTTGTATTTGTGTGTTTTTACCTGTATTTCGACTTTAATCAATAATAAATGTTGTTTTTCTTTTAGATCATGGATCGATCTCGAATCCAAAATGGAGATATATGTATTGCAGATTGTGCAACTACTCATGCTATACTCAATGACAGAAAATATTTCGTCAACTTGAAATTAAATAAAGCAAACAATTTTCAGAAATGCAAATATAATTGAGGGTTCTGGAAAAACCATATTTTTTATGATGGGAGGTACAAAATTTATATTGAATGATGCATTATTCTCCCCAAAATCAACAAGAAACGTGTTGAGTTTTAAAGATATCCGAATGAACGGATACCACGTTGAAACAATGAATAAAGGGGGAGTTGAATATCTTTGCATTACCTCAAATATTGCAGGAAATAAATGTGTTTTGGAGAAATTGCCAGCTTTATCCTCGAGCTTATATTACACCCGCATTCATATTATTGAGACTTATGCTGCAATAAAGTCACAAGCGAATGAAGTATTTAAACTTTGGCATGATAGACTTGGTCATCCTGGCTCGATAATGATGCGAAGAATTATTGAAAATTCTAGTGGGCATCCATTAAAAAATCAGAGGATACTGCAAACACATGAATTAACATGTGCCTTGTGTTCTCAAGGGAAATTGATAATAAGACCATCACATACTAAAGTCGGGCATGAATCACCATTATTTTTGGAAATGATTCATGGTGATATATGTGGACCTATTTATCCACCTTGTGGTCCATTCAGATATTTTATGGTGTTAATTGATGCTTCTAGTAGATGGTCTCACGTGAGTTTGTTATCCACTAGAAATGTGGCATTTGCTAAATTGTTTGCCCAACTTATCAAATTAAGGGCTCAATTCCCAGATTATATTATAAAAAGGGCCAGACTTGACAATGCTGGAGAGTTTACATCTCAAGCATTTAATGATTATTGTATGGCAGTGGGAATTTATGTTGAACATCCTGTAGCACATGTTCACACTCAAAATGGTCTAGCAGAATCATTGATTAAACGACTGCAACTTATAGCCAAACCATTGATAATGAGGACAAAACTGCCCACTTCAGTATGGCCATGGGGACATGCTATTCTGCATGCAAATAATCTAATTCGCATAAGACCAAGTGCACACCATACATACTCGCCATTACAGTTGGCATCTGGTCGAGAACCAAATATTGCACATATAAGAATTTTTGGTTGTGCATTATATGTACCAATTGCTCCGCCCCAAAGTACGAAAATGGGGCCTAAAAAAAGGTTAGGAATATATGTTGGATATGAATCTCCATCAATAATAAAATACCTTGAGCCAAAAACAAGTGATGTTTTTACAGCTCGGTTTGATGATTGTCATTTTAATGAAGAATTATTTCTCCCTTTAGGTGGGAATGAAAAGTCAATCGAGAAAAATATTGAATGGAGAACATCATCACTATCATATCTTGATCCTCCCACCAAACAAAAAGAACAAGAAGTTCAAAAGATCATACATCTGCAGAATATTGCAAATCAATTGCCAGATGCATTTACTGACACAAAAAGTGTGACAAAATCACATGTTGCAGCTATAAATGCCCCTGCTCGAATTGAGATTACAAAAGAAATGACAAATGACAATGTGCCAAATGAATTAAAGGCACGCTTGAAACAAGGAAGACCAGTGGGGGCTAAAGATAAGAACCCTCGAAAGAAAAGAGAAATTCAAGATTCGAATTTGAAAAAGAATCAAGATGATGGAAAAATTTCGGAACGAAATGAAAATATTGAAATTTCCATCAATTATGTAAATAATGGGAAACTTTGGAAGCGTGATGGGATCATTGATGATGCGTTCGCATATATGGTATCACAAGAAATTGACAAAGAAGTTGAGGATCCTGAACCAAAATCTATGATTGAATGTCAGAAAAGACATGATTGGGACAAGTGGAAAGGTGTTATTCAAGCCGAGTTAAATTTGCTTACTAAACGAAAGGTGTTTGGACCTATTACCATTATACCTAAAGACATAAAACCTATTGGGTACAGATGGGTTTTTGTCAGAAAAAGAAATGAGAAAAATGAGATCACAAGATATAAAGCTCGCCTTGTAGCACAGGGATTCTCCTAGAGGCCTGGGATCGATTATGATGAGACATATTCCCCGTTATGGATGCAATTACTTTCTACTTGATTAGTTTAGCCATCCATGAAAATCTTGAGATGCGTCTCATGGATGTTGTGACTGCTTACTTATATGGATCGCTAGACGCGGACATTTATATGAAAATTCCAGAAGGAATTAGAATACCCGAGGCGCTAAAGTCCAAACCTAAAGAGTTACGTGCGATAAAACTGCAAAGATCATTGTATGGCTTGAAACAATCCGGGCGTATGTGGTATAATTGTTTGAGTGAACAATTACTGAAACGGGGATACATAAATAATCAAATATGCCCGTGTGTTTTTATAAAAAGATCACAAGATGGAGTTGTGATAATTGCTGTCTATGTCGATGATCTTAACATTATTGGGACTACAAATGAAATCCAATAAGCAGTCACTTTACTAAAAGGCGAATTTGAAATGAAAGATCTCGGACAGAATTGTCTCGGCTTGCAAATAGAACGAGTCCAAAATGGGATATTTGTCCATCAATCTAATTACACTAAACGAATATTGAAACGATTCAATATGGACAAGGCTAATCCACTTA